AACCCATTGTAGTTGGCCTTGAAGCGTTAGATGGCTGATCTTGGGCCATTACGATCGGCGCAGGCGGGAGTCCGGCAAGGCGGCGGCTGCGGCGTAGTCCAGGTAGTGAAGCTCCCGTCGTTGGGCTTGTCTTACCCAGCACGCTTCCACCAATCTGTTACGCACAAGGAGGACCAGGACGTATACGGCTGAAGGGGGCCGTTTATTTTGGTCGCGAAGAGAAGCGCCGAAGCAGCCAACAGGTTGATGATCGCAGTCTCGTCGTCTTCTTTCTTCCTTCAGCTTCGGGCAGCCAGCATGTTCACCCATCTTCGTTTTCTTCCAAGGCATGCGTAACAATATCTTGGGCTTCAGAACCTTAGCAAGAACCCTTACCTAAAAAGCTTGTACCTACAAGCATGAGAAATAAACAGACAACAGCACAAGCCATCATAAGACGTCTTACTCTTGTATGTAAGACGTTGAATTGACTGACCCAAATATTGCGCTTACTGCATAAAATTTTTATTTTCAGAATGTTAAAAAACGTGCCGCAGTAGAGAAGTAGCATGAAGTGTTAATCTCTCTGAGAACGTAATAACAAGCATCATAACTTCAGTAAACAGCAGTTCCGATGGTCTTGTATTGTACGTCCCTGTACTGTATTCAATACAATTTTCTTTTAGGAAAAGAAATTGCCTTACTTTCCAACAAGTGCTATTTAGGTATTCTAAACACTCACCTACCTACTGACTAACCTACCTACCTACCCACCCACCCATCCAATCACCCACCCGCCCGCCCTTCCGTTCACCCGCCTGTCCATTCATCCGTCTATCCATCATTCCATCATCCGTCTGTTCGTCTGTTTGTCAAGCATTCCCCTCTGGGTGCTCTTGTGATTGTCTCCTTAGCCTGGAGTGAACCAACATTAGTATAGGTGGATAAGAGAGTTTGGCTTATATGACTGCCTAGTCATGACATGAAAAAAAATGACAGATCTCATGCATCAAGGAAATCGATGTCATGTGAAGCATGCGTATGCAAGGTGACTGTATTTTTTATTGACCGAAACGTTACGAAGTTGCGCTAAATACAATAAACAGCCGCATATGTTTACAGAACCATTTGTTTACAGTTGCATACCGATGGCAACAGCAACATAGATATTAGCAAAACCAGAAGTGTTAAGGTGATAAGAAGAGCTTGTACTCGCAACAGTGGTTGCCGTGCAGACTCAGCGGATGAATCAGCGGATAAATCAACCTCAGCGGATGACACGCAACTAGAATGAACGTTAATCCGACATGACGTCTCTATCAAAGGACGGCACATGCAGTGTTTATAAATTGTACACTCAGCACTGCAACCACAAATGATGTTTCAGGAACATTACGGTTTATTTGAAAAATAGTTTCAATACCTGGCATGGCTCTTTAGTAGAATACCTAATTGCCACGCACAATTTAGAAGATCGTTTGCTGCAGATCCATGGACATTTATCCGTTGCATTCGTCGGGTCCATGCTGCCAATATCCGCTTTTTTTTCTTAACACTCATGCGTTGAAATTACCCGTGCGTGTTCTCGTCATTCCTGGGTAGATATAATGCATCAGTCACGTGTGGCTTATACACGCGTACCAGTGGCCCATACCAGCTCACGGATATGATCCACCGTCTAGCGGAAGATGTTTGACGGCGCACACGATTAGATTTTGACATTATTCACGTCATGACCAGCGAGTCGTATTCGTCCAACCATGTTACCTTCCCTCCCATACTAATTTTGGTTTGCCCCAAGTTAAGGGGCTTATCACAAGAGCACCCAGACGTAGGCAGCGGAAAGGTAGATAGATAGACAGATAGATAGATAGATAGATAGCTAGATAGATAGATAGATAGATAGATAGATAGATAGATAGATAGATAGATAGATAGATAGATAGATAGATAGATAGATAGATAGATAGATAGATAGATAGATAGATAGATAGATAGATAGATAGATAGATAGATAGATAGATAGATAGATAGATAGATAGATAGATAGATAGATAGATAGATAGATAGATAGATAGATAGATAGATAGATAGATAGATAGATAGATAGATAGATAGATAGATAAGATAGATAGATAGATAGATAGATAGATAGATAGATAGATAGATAGATAGATAGATAGATAGATAGATAGATAGATAGTAGATAGATAGATAGATAGATAGATAGATAGATAGATAGATGATAGATATAGATAGATAGATAGCAATGAACAGCGGAATACAGGTTTGTACCGAAGGTGCTCGACAGTTAAAATCTGCTCAAAAACGGCGATAACAAACATCGGCAGCCTTGACCCAACGAATACAAAGAATACCTATCACCGTCTCAGCAGGAGTCGAACTCAATCATTCTGCGTAGAAGTCGAGTATTCTTCACAGAACCACGCCAACTCTCTAAACTGCTTTGGAAAAAGAACCTATGCAGGCGTAATGTTTGCGATACGTCAGCTGTGCCGGCAGTGCTGGCTATCTATTTGCATAAACGTAGCGTATATACGGCTGTGATACAGGCGTCACGCTGTATACCTGCGTAATCCCCTGAAGTTGGCGTACGTAGGACTAGCCAGAGCTACCGTCTTCGGAAGCACGAGCGCTGCATATAGACGTCAGACTCTGCCCAGGTGGCGCTGCGGAAAACGCCGCCACCAGTGCCCTCATCGCCACGCTGGCCATAGCTGGGTAATGCAAAGAGAGCCGTCCACCAGCGAACGTGAATAGGCCCTTTTCTTTCGTTGCTGCTGAGGCACGGTTTGTTTAAAATCAATAACCTGGCAAGTTTCTTCTGTCAATCCAACCTCGCTTCAGAAAAGTAGAAAACCAAAGCTATGAAGTGCACACACCATGCAATGTACCTTACGATCAGTGGTACAAAGCTCGCATTATCGGGCACGAGATACCCCTGTAATTTTAGCCTTTGCAGTTGCATTCTCCGATCATCTCTCGCTTTCGGTGCATATAACCGTTCTATCACGCATCCTAGAATGTTCTTTTGATGGTTTTCTTCCGTTTTTATATACTGCAAAATGGAATGTACACGCATGTTTACCTTCTTGGTGTACAACGAAAGGCAAAACCAACGAGCTCCGGTGATCGCGGAGACCAACGGCCAAAAAAAAAAAATTTGATTGTGGTCACGACCAACATTTCGCATTACCTCGTTGAAGCCATAGCTTAGAACCTTCAAAAAACGCGTGCGCAATTATGTGTGGTGGCAGCCACTTCAGATGATCGGTAGTTGTGGCGTGTGCTCTATGGTAATTGCCCGCGTCACTGGTCTACATTTGCGCAGGGCGCACCGCAGTCAGAGGCTCTGTTCAGCTTCATCATCAAAGTTACCATGGTTATCCATTAAGGCTACTCAAAAGAGTAACAGGAGACCTGTATTATCAAACGTTTTTTTGCTACCAGTGATTCCCCTATTCTACGCATTTGCAGCGGCGCGCATCCCATGCTCTCCGCGTTCTGCTTCGCGACAGCTACGTGAATCTATAAAACTGAAGTAATTTGAAGAATTCACAACGCAGCTAGCGTCGACTGAGGTCTTTCTTCGTAGAGTGCGGCGGTGTTGCGTGTGCTCTTGTTTTCACCGTCGTTCTGTCGAGTGATTCAGTATGCTCGTCATGGTGGTTCGGTGACACGTCCTATACTAGGGAAGAGAAATTCGCAGATCTTCTTCTGAGTGTTTAATACGAAAAAACACCTAATATTTAGCTCAATCGTGGTTTGGCACTCGCTAGATGCACCTGGTCGGGCAGAAAACTGTGCAAGGTAATTGGGCTTGCACTTCTCAAAACTGTGCCGACGCATGGCGGTACGTGTGTGGAAAACTCCAGAGTATACGACGTCTATTAGGTTACCGCTTCTGGTGTTAATATTACCCATGTTGCTGATGGCATCGCTGCTTAACTATATAAATCTGGTTATGGAAAACATGTGCGACTGTTAAACGCATGTTGTTGCGTACAACAGTTGTGCATATGTTTATAGTATTTATTTATTTATTTTTATTTATTTATTTATTTATTTATTTATTTATTTGTTTGTTTATTTATTTATTTATTAAAAATACCTGCAGTGCCCTCAGGCAGTATATCAGGGGGAAAATACACAACGTAAAATATGTTTTCACAAAAAGAACTATCCAAAAACAAGATGAACACAAAAACAAATCACCATTAAAATTCAGCTATGGCAGTAGCAATATTTCCATGAAAGATGTATCAGTGCGGCAGTCTGAAACCTACTGTAGAAGCCGATTCCACTGTGGGATTGTGAGCGGAAAAAAAGGAGTGTTGGCAATTGTTTGCTCTGCGAAAAAATTCACGGAATTTTAGGGGGTGGTCAGTTCTCTTAGAAAAAAATTTGGGAGGTGAAAGGTAGGATGCTTTATCTATTTTGATCAACCCATGAAATATTTTGAATAGCATTTCTAATCCTACGGGATGCTAAAAGATCCCACCCTAACCTATTTTTAAGCGCAGTGACACTGACACTGAAGTCATAGCTGCTAGTCACAAAACAATCTGTGCTGTTTTGTACGATCTCGAGAATATTAGACAGAGTTTTTGTTTGTGAATCCCACGCCACACAGGCGTACTCCAAGATTGGTCGGACATTCGAAAAGTATAGTTAGTAGTCCTCTGATTTTAGGAGGAGCTAACCAAAATTTCCCTTTAACAAAGCTTAAAATTCTCATGACATCTCATAACGTTTCTCTCAAGAAATAGATTGCAACACAGTCACCTTCCCTCCACATGCTTCACGTAACATTGATTCTCAATACACGTAGGGTCTGCCGAGTTTATTACCAAATAAATGTGTATGTTTTTAACATGGTTTTGTATGGGTACAAAGCAATAAAGAACAGTATAATTATTTTACAACAACAAAAAAGTTTTTCTTTGTTGAACTGTATTATTGTTAAACAAGTATTCATTATATCGTGTTCTCCTTTCCAGAAATGCATGAGGGGAACTTGTTGGTGGCCAACAAAATAAATAAACAATTTAATATATTCTAGTCTCATTGATGCCTGTTATGAAAAACACATCACGAACCAAATCTGCATGTTCAATTAGGCATCTATTTCTAAAAAAGCACATTAGCAGCAACACCATTGACAATATGAACTGTCACTTTTACTTCTAAAAATCATCAAAGAAACGGATGAACGAAATTACTATATAAGTACAAAATGACAATGATGATTTTTTTTAAATAAAACATTGCATTCCACTTCACCTTCGTGTTCTCCATCTGTTTGTAGTAATGATTATTAAGCCCTTATGTATACACATCCGGACATGCCACTCAAGCACACCTGAGAACCTTAGATTAACTTTCCAACATTTAGTATCACAGCCGTCAGAGTGGACCATGAAGACTTTGCTTCTAGGTGCTGCTCATCACTCTTCAATACACAAGAGGCTCATAACCCCCAAGACCATAGTGTAAGATACAAACACCCACGACTAACTATTTCGTGGCCTTAAAATGTATCTGGTGATTCCTTGTTATATACATTTCGACTTCTCTGCGTCCTCCCATGTGAATCGGCTATGTGTACATGCTGTAGTAATGAACAGCAATGTATTCATCAGGCTTTAGCGGTGCTGGCATGTAATATAGACTGCTTAGTTCATATGTATATTCATTTGCGTTTTAAGTGCCAGCATCCAGTAGTCTCGCCACAAATGCCCACAGGTCCGCCTGAAATAGCGAATTGTTATTTCTGGTCACTCGAATGTATTTAAAGAGAATGCATATGCGACACTCTTCCATGTGCACCAGCTGGCAACCATTGAATCATTGCCGTGCTGAAATACATAAGCAATGGCTGCCTCGTGTTCAACTAGACTGCTTCGAAAACCAACAAAACGACGGTATACTGACTTGCTTTATTGTCGACTTGCCTTATTGATTTGTTGGCTAATTGTACTCCGGATACGAGACCAATATAGCATAACATAGTATAGCAAGCTTTCGCCTGCATTACTCAAACAATGCACATAAACAACCCAGTGTCATTACGCGTGCTATTTTTGTTGTTGTTGTTGTTGTTGTTGTTGTTGTTGTTGTTGTTGTTGTTGTTGTTGTTGTTGTTGTTGTTGTTGTTGGTGTTGTTGTTGTTGTTGTTGTTGTTATTGTTGTTGTTGTTGTTGTTGTTGTTGTTGTTGTTGTTGTTGTTGTTGTTGTTGTTGTTGTTGTTGTTGTTGTTGTTGTTGTTGTTGTTGTTGTTGTTGTTGTTGTTGTTGTTGTTGTTGTTGTTGTTGTTGTTGTTGTTGTTGTTGTTGTTGTTGTTGTTGTTTGTTGTTGTTGTTGTTGTTAGTAAGGCGAGGGGGTACAAGCACCGTCTTAAGGCGGTACTTGCACCCCACGCCTTAAAGAGCTTTGCTCCTAAAACTGTGCTGGCATGCATGCAGTGTTTTTTCTCGTGCGCTAGAAATCCGTGTAGCAGGACCCAAGGCGGCCGATCGAACCGACCTCTATCATGATCTTGTTGCACTTAGCAGCATTGGCTAGTAGATCCACATTCTTTCTGTCGTTCAGCCACGTGTCGCTAGAACCTTCTGGTCCCATACCGTGACTGACTTGCCTCTCCACTTGACAATGCCTATTTTAAGCTAAAAATTGGTTCAAGCTAGAACCCGCTTCTCCTCCACCTCAATGAACTTCTTGGTCCGGGCATCCGGCAAGTCAGGGCATTTTATTGGTCATTCCTACCCTCACTAGCGCCGTTTTCTTGGCTATCAATGTAAGTACTATGACCAATAATATCAAGATCATCAAAATTGGAAGATTGACATCATTCTGTTCCTGGGTGTTTGGCATTTCTTTTCTAGTCAGCTGCTTCCCTCTCAATAATAGTGTGGTCCTAAGACCCACGGGCTCCGCTTAAGAACATGTAATTTAAACAGCCGTTTATCAAAATTTGCGGCACTGATAATGCCTAAACATTAATTATAAATACTGGAGACCCCCCGATAGTGGAGACAGCTTTGCGCCTTGCATTGTACATCTGCTTCTTAAAAAGAAAGAGCCGTCTTCCTTGTCCTGTATGGGTATGTAGGATTGTCTGTTGGTTAAAAACTGCCGACTGTATTCAAACGCTCTCAAGCCACAGCCGGTTTATGAAAGGTGTGTTAAAATTACCTCATGAGTTACATAGTCAAATGACCCCTTCAAGTCCAAGGTGAGTACAACCTTGTCGTTGTGAGGACATTCAACAGAATTTAGGATATCCCAATCAAGTTGAAGCAAAATGTCTTGCATCGATCTGCACGGGCCAAATCCGTGCATCGAATCAGAGAAAATGCATTAATTCTTCCCTGGCCGCTGTCATTGTATTGTGATGATGATTTTGGCACTTTATGTCCCAAAACCTTGATATTGTTATGTGGGGCGCTGTATGGTAGAGGGCTCCTGAAGTTTTGACCATCTGGGGTTCTTTAACGTGTACCAAAGTCCGTTTCACAAGCCCTCGAGCGTTTTACGTCATAGTATTGTAAGTGTTTCGTTCGGTCGGGTGCACGATTGCCCGATATACCACAGGCTTCCGATCGTTCTTGACGCCTTTGACGGTCGCGTTCTTCAACGTTACAACCATGGGAAGGTATCGTCATACTTGCGACTAGAACTCTCTTGACAATAGAATTGCAATTTCAAGCATAGCGATAGATATAGCGCGAGAACAAAACGACGACACAGAGACAAGAAGGACACGAAAGACATGAGCGCTAACTTCCAACTGAGTTTATTGCGCAGAGCACAAAAATATATAGAGGAGACTACCTCGCTCTGTGTCGTCGTTTTGTTCTCGCGCTATAACTATCGTCATGCCATACCAACTAGCCCAAGCTGCCACACTTTCAAGCATAGGTTTGAACGGCTGTGAATTTTGTGAGTTCTTTCCACGCTGCTCGAGTAAATACATTTTAAGTATGCTTCGAATACATTCGAAGCGGAGCTAAGCACGTCGACTACTAATTATTCGCGTAGAAACACAATCGTTTGCCTGATCGTTTCGTTTTTGAGCATGTGGGTCTCATTAAAACGGTAAAGTAAATACGCTTGTAGGAGGCGCGCAACTAGCTTCGCATACTTTAAATTATGAGTGCGCGACAAGAAAAATCAGCCTGGGCATGCATTGTGTTCAGCTGTTGAAATAGTTCGTCCACCTGGTGATATTTGTTCTGACATTACGGTAATGGGATGAGGTGAAGACAGTGTCATCATTTAATGTAACTTTCGACTGCTGCTACCGCTTCCTGAGTGACTTATATAAGCCCCTAGTTTGTGTAATTGGGAGGTTCGCCTTAAGTTATGTCATGCGAAATGGCACGCGTTCTTTTAAAGTTTGTTCTCTTCACCTCGCTAACACGTAAGGATTATCGTTTACCTTATTATCTGGTAATTATGCCTTTCTTTAATCCGCTAAGCAATTATCGCACCCAGAGCCTGGTAATATCTGTAAAGTCATGCTACGTAACCTTCTCATGATTTCGCAGCGCAGGAAAAAGTGAATTCAGCACTCCCGCTAATGTCCGACTTGCTCAAAAATCAGTGATAACGGAATCGCACAATGACCGTTTTTTTACTAAAAAGAACGCTACTGGATCTGTATTGAGCACCGGTTCATATTTGTGTACCATTTACCAAGCGTTTTAATACGCACGTTGACACGATTTCGCTCCACCCCAGAATTTGCCATTTGAACACTATCTACTTCCTCCTTTAGGGTGCATTCCTACCTTTGAATATATAGCACTGGTCGGATGACCATTTCCAGCTAGTGACCCTAAACTCTACTCAACGTGACGGCTGTTCATACCTGCGTGCCGCATATATACGTGTCGCTACCCAGAACTTACGCCTCCTCGTATATGACTCGCATTGTCATTACCCTTTAAATAAGCTGGCATCCTGTCTATACGCATGTCATTGGTTTATATTGTCGCAGTGCAACGCGAACAACAGATGACAGCAGCTTACGGCAGCGAAATGAGCGTATTCAGGATCAGCTGTACAGCAAGATGCCTGCTTCGTTGTTGTCCCGATCAACCCAGTGTCGCAGTGCAACGCGAACAATATGTTTGAGACTGTAGTTGCGCGGATGAAAAAATGTAGCAGCAAGCGACAACGCGAAAACATGGTTTTGCGACTAAACAGCCATTTCTGACTATTCGCATTGCGGTTTTGTAGCACGACCGGAGTCGCAGATCTTCACGAGCATTTCATAACCACATATTTATTTGGTCAAAAACAAGGCGTCCTTCTGCAAGCTGCTTTGGCTGTAGAGCGTTGTATATTACTATTCCACATCTGTTTACAGCAAGCATATAATTATTAGTTTAGTAATAACCTGTAAGCACCGTCAGTGGGTTGGCTGCATCACAGATGATGGCGAAATAATTAACACTGACATGGGTGGCTGGACGCGCAGAAACTGTAGAAAATCAAGAAGAGATACATTAGTGTTATCAAGAAGTTGACATGAAACAGCCATATTTAACAAATAATGATAAGTACCACTCTGCTTTATGTTTGAAAATACAAATGTAACCTCATTAACAACACATCAGGTATAATATGAAGACTATTTGCTTCGAACCTTGGATGACGCTGAATGCAATGAAATTTCGCTCTGTTAGTAATTATGTCTGTACTTACATGGACGCCTTTAATTATTATAACAGGCACGCTCTTTTGTAAGCCTTCGATCAAACTGACAACTTAGTGCTTCACATTTGCACTATTTAGTGCAAAGAATAAAGAGAATGCATTTGTTATCTGAAGTAGCGTTGCTCTGAGATACGCATTTGAGATCACCTCAAACGGGAAGTAAACTAAACGTAATCATGTAGTTCAAGTTGTTGGTTATGGATTCCAATGAACTAATTGTCATTAGAGACGGAACAATGGGATCACCTGCACGTGCGAAAGTCAGAAATTAAAGTGGTTACGTCATTTAACTTTTTCCATGGGTAGATTCACAATATGAAGCCCGTGCTCGTTAATTAGGGCTGTACGCACCCCAGTTTCAATAGAAACCAAAAACGAATACAGTAGTAGCTTCACTTATAGTTGGTAATGTTAACGTTGCCCTTCATGTGTCATTGTTATTGCACTGATGAATTGGTTGACTGCAACCGTGACAAAACAATCTGGGCCTACTCAAAGACCCCTGTACGTACCGACGATGGCGGCCTTAAATTGTGCACTACATACGAGTTGAAAACGACAACAAAACACGCCATGAGGACAATATAAATTGCATGTGATTGCATATATATTATCCGGTCACTTCGATGTCCAAAGTGCAGGGACAGAAACTTTTCTTGTGCACTAGAGATATTTTCTCATCACAACTGAAGTGGGCTCTGTTGCATGAGTGTTGTCACCGCAGATAACTGAAGTGCTACAACTAACGCTTGTAGTACCTCAGAAAGTGGTTTTTTAACAGGCGCCCAAATTTCATAACAAAAATGACCCTGAAATAACGGGAACAGTTTGACGCAGCACTACAGAAGCCTGTTCACAAAACAGACCACCAAAAGCGCTTCACGATAGACAAGGTAACAAGCATCTGATGTCCTGAACTGCAACATAACACCTGGAGTTTTCTGTCTTCGTATTCCATTGCATTTTTCAGCTTGCCTTTATGAATCCAAGCATATATAAGGGAATGGGGAGGCTCCAGTGACTCCTTGCATTCAAGAATATTGCCCCTACAAATGTGACTGAAATTTCTGATGTTGTGGTATCACATTCATCAATGCAGTTTTGTTGCATTTATTTTTGTTAGTGTCTCGATCCCATCGTCATAGTGTTACAAAAAATGGTGTCATTACTGGCATAGCGGCTCAGCGTTCCTCATATTTTTTCATCTACGAGCACTTGTTGCTATTTTGACAAGCTCCTAGTGCCCTGATGTCACTACAGGCATAACCGTGTCTCTGTTTGTTTCCCTTGGGTATCACAGTGCTCGCTAGTAGTGAAACTAGGGTCAGTGTATTGGTGTCACTCCATGGCACAACATCAACTCGTGTTCCAAACTTTCCGCTTCGCGAATACTCCTTAATATTTGCACCAAGTGTCCTGATGTACTTGCTGGCATAAGACCAGCTCGGCGTGTCTAAACATTGCGCTTCACAAACGCTCGCTTATACACGCAGCTTGTGCTGCTCTGCTCTGTAATAACTGTCTTGCTGTGGAGAGGTTCACGTTTATATTAACTCGGCAACTTCTAGTTTGTTGATGGCATCAGTGGCATAGATGATCAATGTGGCACATAACTAACTTCAGAACTATCCTACGAAAAAACTCCATATCTTTGCCAGCCAGAACTTCAGATCAGAGAACCCATGAAAAAAACGTAGAACAGAGCGCCACGAAGTGAATGTCTTGCATGACTTAAACGTCCTAACGTGTGCGTTGAAAAGCTGAAGCGTGATGAGTTCGTTTTGATGAAAACATTCTTATGCGAATACGTGTAGAAAGATTCGTGAAGTAAATGTCATAATTATAGATTTCGACAAACCTACTGTACCGTAGCAAATGTCATCATCACTGGTACAGCGTTTAAATTGCAGACAAAGCATGTAGCTGGTGTCATTTCGCAGGTCACATGTCACACACAAAGCACAATCAAAGAGCAAGCGCAGTGAACCATAAGACTTAGCGTTATGTCACGAAACACAAAGACAGACAGCACAACGGATCACTGATATGCATTACAAATAAAGGTTGATGCCCATGTCTCAGCTTGCCTCATCTGTCAATTATAGAAATTTATCGTCAATCTAACGAAAGCCAGTGACAGTGCTACGTCTCATTAGCCATGAACACAAATAACTGTAGTAAGTACTTGAGCTCATTTGAGCACCTGGCCCGCCAGCTTTCAAAGTGCCCTATTGATTCTATAGCATCATGACGTCACAATAATCAAGTACATACTCTATCTACTCTTTAAGACTACACTCGATCAATTTTTACAGTCTATTTCTGAACTTCTACACTGCATTTTATTCAGGCTCGTATTTACTCGCATAGAATAGAATTACTTCAACCAAAAATGCGAGTTCATACGTTTTCTAATTTAAATGTACTACTCACTCAATTTTATATAACTACATTACCAAACACGGAATTACCATTGGAACTGTTGAATTCACGTACGTCAAGGACCAATTCTGATACTAATAAATGTTCTCGGGTTAGCTCTGAGTAGCCAGGAGAAAAGAAAAATTGTTCTTATGCTAATCTTCTTAAAAATAGCAAATACGATGGCGTGTCGACATACCTAAAAGCTAACTATAACGTCCCCCTACAACAAAGGTCTTTTTTAAGTATTTCCCTAACTTTCCTATATATCTTCCACTAGCTCATTCTGTATTGTCCCTGAGAACATTTAGATTTAATCTCTCCGTGCAACTCACTCTCTTACTCACCTTCTCTTTCTTTTTTTATGGCGTCTTACGTCTTCCCTCGAGAGAATACATGTGCTCCATTAAAAAAATAGTGTATGTTGGAAAGAGCTTCAACACTGATGAGGTTTGCAACGTTGGCCTTTTTTGTAGAGAGTGCTGTATTCCTGGTACTATCAGAGTACTCTCCTCTACGTGTCCATCAAATGACGCACAAAATCCCAGCTTCATTTCCCGAAATTTCTTGAACTTGCCGACAAAACTGAGCTTTCAGAAACAATTAGGAGTCACTGTTTCTCTTACGTTTGCCAATGTTCTTCTTAGCAGTATATTGGAAAATTGCGATGTTACGTGGTGAATGTTATTGTAATTTCATGTCTCACGTGATTGCCTTCATTTTTTTTCTTACGGTGTCTCATTTATGGATCAAAGGTAAGGGGATTGCGTGTTATCATTTCGCTCTATCTAACAGCATATATAGGTCTGATTTGATCGATATGTGGGGTTTAACGTCCCAAAACCACCATATGATTATGAGAGACGCCGTAGTGGAGTGCTCCGGAAATTTCGACCACCTGGCGTTCTTTAACGTGCACCCAAATCTGAGTACACGGGCCTACAACATTTCCGCCTCCATCGGAAATGCAGCCGCCGCAGCCGGGATTTGAACCCACGACCTGCGGGTCAGCAGCCGAGTACCTTAGCCACTAGCATATATGGTTCTGGAAACCTTACTGTTTTTAATAATATTTCACGTGATCCTTCGATACTTGTGTGAATGCATGTACCAGAATTCATGTGCAACCTTTTAACCAACTTCTGCGAAAGCCCTCAATAGATTGACAGCATCATGAAACAAACGAACTAACTCAATTTTCACTCTAATCATTGATCTTGCCGATGAGAGATTTTTTAAAGTGAAAACTTCACTGGGCACTGGCAATAGATAACTGATAAGTTTTTTCAATTTCATTCTCATTACGCTTTGCAGCGATCACTGGTGCCCGGAAGTACACTATTCATCACAGCCTCACAGTTTACCCTCAGGTTTTCGAGGACCGAGCAGACGAGTCAAAAAAGCTGCTCGTCATTCATGAAGGACTCTCTCTGACGCTAAGTAAAGGTTCGGTGCTTTCCGAAAGTGTATTACTCCGAGACCTTACCGAAAATGGTGTGAAGGAAACCTACGTGAGTGAATGTTTCCTCGCCTTCATTTTTTTTTTCAATGTTTATATTCTGTGGAAAATTTAGCGTACTGTGGAGGATAACGTATTAGTACAGCACAATAGAAAAAAAATACCTGATTCGGAATGCTCAGTGGTAGAAAGTGACAAACATTTGAAGTTTGATTGATTAATATGTGGGGTTTAACGTCCCAAAACCACTATATGATTATGAGAGACGCCGTAGTGGAGGGATCCGGAAATTTCGACCACCTGGGGTTCTTTAACGTGAACATTTGAAGTTTGGTGATTCTAAAAACAGCTAATGTGCTTCTCTGCATTCGCCCAAACCTGGCGCGATGGGCGTCAACTAACTCTTGCTTGTACACATCTGATAGGCGGGCACAGTAGGCTCCTTTAAAAGGGGAGGGGTGACGATGTTTCACCGCAGTCCTCACCTCATTCCACATTTCCAGTCCAAAAGAAATCAAGCTTCGTGGAAGATGCAAAAATGAAAAATGAAGCAGTAAAGTGCTTCTCACAAAGGCCTACTTCTAGTCTCTAGATTTCTGAGTGTAAGGAGGGGAAGTGAACAGTTCTTAGAAGCCAGTAACTGCAATCATCGGCTACTATTACTGTAAAAACATCAGCATGGACATACATTTGCACTCTAAACAATGGTGGACAAAGTTCTACTAAGCAAAAGTACGGGTCCGACGTGCCCATGAATCTTAGCTCGTACACCTTTGCTTTAAACAATGGTGGACAAAGTTCGACTGAGCAAAAGTATGGGCCCAATAGACCGGTTCTTGTGCGCCTTTCTTAGATTAGGGGGGGGGGGGGGGGGGAGTTGCCCCCTTGTGCATACGCCCATCTACTGGTCATGCGTCTCCTCAGAGCTCCTGGCCCGTTTGACTTGGAGAAGGAGCTCACTCAAATAACATGCTACAACCAATATTCCATAAAAAGCTAAAAACTTCGTGAGAGAAAAATTTGATTATAATCAGTTCTTTAATTTCTTTTTTTTCAAGATCGATGGTAAACAATACGAGAAATACTTGTATCAAGATGTCGATACGCAAGCATCATTACTTGTTCGACCTCAAGCTGCTGGTAATTACCATATAGTAAGTGAAGCTGTCTTTATTGCAATGAACATAAGCACTATAGCCAGTTGCAAGTTAAGAACAAATATAAGCACTGCTCACGAAAACACCCAGAGCTTGTCAATCACTTACATATGAAGGTCATCGTGCATGCTTGTTTCCTCTCATACTCTCAATACTTTTCTAGGCTAATATAAATGCCACAAATATCGAAAGCTATAGCTTCGTTTTTCCAACTAAAGTACGATGTTTGTTGAGCAGTGGTGCCAGTATCGTCCGTGAAAACGGGCCTAGACGTAACAATTTTCGAACCACTAACACGAGCATGTTTTTGCATAGGAGCGTCAACTGTCCTAAACTTGTGTGAAGTGTGTGCCGTCACAAAATTGGCCAAATGTGATTGTGTGAAACATCTGTACGAATTCACTATGGGTACACACTAAAAGAAAAAAAAGGGTATGTGTGACTTCCTTCGAATTGTCCTGACTGACTTGCCACGTATATGACTATCTCTAAAAACAATTTTAACTACCTTTAAAACTAACCTTAAAGAGGCCTCCTCTCTCTCTTCTGGGTCACATGACCCACCGAAGAGTGTATGTGACCTCCGAAGAACGTTTATTACTTTCAAAGAGAGTAATAACCTTAGCAAGCCCGAGCTTTAAAAAAAGAGCCAAAGAACTTATTTTTTCTTAGAGTACAGTGAAGTGTTCGCAGGTGGAGTTTCTAAATATAATTAGGATGTAATGGACTATAAACACTTAGATCTCCTAAGAGCTGCTCACATAACACTACAGGAAATCTGTACTCATGTATAGGTTGGCCTGATCAATTCCACGCACTTAATAGAGCCCATCGGGCGCATGGAGCGATCCTCTGTCGCCGGAATCGCTCACAGGATAACAGCGATCCCCGAGTACAAGGGAATCATTCGTGCTCTGGAAGCTGACCGTAAGTGTTTACAATTTCGCATTGTTTCAAGAAATAAATCGAGTAGACTTCCCATATTATCCAGACAATGAAGAAAATTAGCCTGCTCGCCGCTCCAGGAAACCACGAACAGTGAAAAGGCAGCGCGCTCCTGATGCCAGCGAGACCACATGGCGTCGTGAATGCGCCACTAGATTTGAAATACGCGCGCTTTTACATAAATGGACAACGTGACATCACGTGACCTATAAGTGAAGCTAATGGCGTTTCTGCGACGAGAGGGGTGACTGCCAATTCTCGTTTCGAGCATCATTACCATCAGCATCATTTAGCATCATTCATTTGAAGCGTCGTTACCGTCACTGTAACGTAACTTTTATCATTATCATCGTCACTATTTAGTTTTATTTTAAACGCGAAGCATTTCTTCACGAACTGCAGGCACTTCGAGCATTTCTTCCTTTCTTTCTTTCTTTCTTTCCTTCATTCTTTCCCTCTTTCTTTCTTTCTTTCTGTCTATATACCTATCTATCCATCTATTAGTCTAGTGGCTAAGGTACTCGCCTGCTGACCCGCAGGTCGTGGCTTCGAATCCCGGCTGCGGCGGCTGCACTTCCGATGGAGGCAGAAATGTTGCAGCCCCGTGTGCTCCGATTTGGGTTCCCGTCAAAGAACTCCAGATGGTCAAAACTTCTGGAGCCCTCCACTACGGCGTCTCTCATAATCATATCGTTGTTTTGGGACGTTAAACCCCCAAATTAATCAATCAACTTATATATCTGTCTGTCTGTCTGTCTGTCTGTCTGTCTGTCTGTCTGTCTGTCTGTCTGTCTGTCTGTCTGTCTGTCTGTCTGTCTGTCTGTCTATCTATCTGTCTATCTATCTATCTATCTTTCTATCTATCTATCTATCTATCCATCTATCTATCTGCCTACGCGTGGGTGCTGTTGTGATATACTTACCTTGGTGTAGACGAAAACTAGTATGGGAGGGTAAGACAGATTCAGGACTATGGCTGAGTGGTCACGGCATGAACAACGTGAAAATCTTGCCGCGTACGTCGTCAAACCTTTTCTCCAGGCACTTGTGCCACATACCAGTATACCATGGGCCGCGGTAACGTGGGTATATGCCACAGGTGATTGACAGTTTCTATCTACCCCGGGACGTTGAAGGCAGTGTAGAACCAACGAATGCTTATATATAAATAAAAAAACGGAACCTAACCACGAATCCAACCCGAGCATTCTACGTAAGCAGTAGACGCCTCTGTAGTGGACGTTCCTCTTAAGTCCATGATGTGCACGCAACTACTGCTTCTGATGTCGATCCACCTCGAAACACTTGCCTCAAAGCCACAAAAAAATTAAGCATACTTTTCAACCTTACGCTTCGGGTAACGAACATCACGGACTGATACAAGAACAACACTACAGCCTACCACTTGGAAGGCTGAATGTTTTTGTATCAGTTTTCGCGAACGCGCAGAACTAGCATCTCGCCATGGAGTTATACTCCCGACTCTGGAGCAAAAGCGGGGCTGAAAGAAAACCAGCCACAAAAACACCTCACGTTACTGTTGACATAGTTGCGTTGGCGTTCTTTTACAGATTGAGTTTGATTAACCCTGTTTAATGTTACTAATACGGCCAATATGAATCAAGCACATACATTTCGATGAAATAGAAACGTGCCGACAGTGTTTACTCTTTATTAAGAAGTTTTAGAAAAGATTTGAGGCTCTCTAAGCAACTCACTACGCAGTGGACTAGCGCACCAGGAAGGCGCATTTGCAGGCACTTTCGCCAGATAGCACCCATCATGTCCACGTCAATTCGAGATGCCGGTCGATCACTCTTTGTTTGACTAAGTTGCGAGTCGTAGTGCGTGGTCGTCTGCGTTTCCTGTTTACGGGTATCAACACGTGTTAATCACCCGGGCTCGTTTTTAATAATGGCGCTGAAAACTGAGTATACTGTCTTCAAGTCTAACACATGCCTCTTTGTCTCGTGATGCTTGTACGGTAGTGTTAAGGTGGTAATGATGGTGGTACCCTTGTGTTCGAAGATTCTGATGCATGCACCTTATGGGAATCTTTTTCTCCAGACATTGTGCATAGACCTTATCGGGAGCTTTTCCTCCAGACATTCTGCGTGGACCTTATTGGAAGCTTTTCCTCCAGACATTGTGCATGGACCTTATCGGGAGCTTTTCCACCAGACATTGTAGATGGACCTTATCGGGAGCTTTTCCTCTAGACTTTGTGCATGGGCATTATGGAGAGCTTTTCATCTGGACTTTGCACCAACATTACGCGCTTGAAGTTCTTTGACTGGCGTTCCAAGGGCACGCTGGGTGCATGTAACGAGGCATCGGCGTGCTCATACGCTAGAGAAAAGTTGGCGTGGACGCGAACATTGCGCCATCTAGTGAGCAATGTGTAAACAGATTTCTGTGGCCATGGCCTCCGATATTGTGCGTGCGCGGCGTGGGTAACCCACCGCGCGCCCGCAATCTCGGAGGCCATGCTGTGGCGCTCACGCTGCTCAGATGTGTTTGAATCGCCTTGGCTGGACCTGAAGTTCGCAGTCTGAGAGCACAGTGTATGTCAGTCTGAATAAATTCGCATTGAAAAAAAAAATGAAGTCATGGAGTTGTGGAGGCTTTACGTCATCTAATAGACTATTTGAAATGTAAAGCAAAACCGATGTTACACTTATCAGTGCTTTTCCATGGTACTTGTTTCAGATGGCTTTCCTGGTGTTCAACCAAGAAAACTTGAAGAAGGTGAGGCAAGTTTGTCTCCAACCTAAAAATCACCTCAATTCAGCCTAAATCACGTTCACAGAGTGAGATAAAAGTGACGTAAGTTCATTGGCTACTAAAAGTTCTGGTATGGTCAGCAACTTGCATCACACTTACGAGTGAGCTGCAAGGGTGGCCAAGGATGAGGTAGAGTTTTCAGAAACTTGATGATTAAGACTGGTCGGTATGACCCAGGTCTTTACTTGCTGATCACCTTTCATCTTTTATTTATTTAACCGCTGACTTCGCGCATGTATTAATACCTGTTTGGTCAGTGCAATAAAACAGTTGGAACTCAGCGGAAGTTGCAGTTAGTACTTACATTCTGTCCGTGGCGTCTTTTCTAGTTTTATGCGCTGTTACATATGTTGCAATGCCTGGTTAAGTTATTTGAATATCCCTTAATGCTGATGGAAGTATCTGTTTTTCATAAAGGCTTTATTTAGTATACTTTCTCTGATGTAAATGATAGCACCTGCATTTGGATAAACACTCATAGTACTAGAAGCATATGTATATATATATATATATATATATATATATATATATATATATATACTTTCTGTCAATATCTTCTAATTTAATTTTTCTGAGAATGCATAAGGTGGTATCTGTTTTTCCTGTGGGCAGTATGATGCAGCAGATGTAAAACATTTACTGTTGCATTAACATTTGAATAATTTTGAAGCGTACATCACAGCAAATACCTTTTAGTTTTATACCGACGCATATGGTGGTATCTGAATTTCCTGCTTTTTTCTGTTCAGGAACGCAGTTCGAAATACGTAGTACTGAGTCAAATTTCACAGCCGAAATAATTTCACCAGCAAAGTTTTTTAAACACTTTATAGTATCTTTCCTTTCATAGACTTAATCTACCCATATCACAGACAGTGCATTTGCGCCGGTTTGAGAAAAGGTTATTCTAACCGAATTGCAAAATGGGTCTTTTGTTTCAAGATGACTCAACTGGGACTCACTTGAAAGACTCGCCTTGCACTCGATGGCAAGTTAAAGCTGATTCAACTCACAGTAACTCAAGGTTGAGGTCTAATTGTTTGAAAGCAACAAATACGTGTAACAAGCGATGTTCAGATGAAGCTCCGAGGTTCTGTCTTTTCAGGCGAAGTGCTCCACTTCATGTTTGCGTGGCATACCAGAAGTGACTCACTTGTGGCTTCGTTACAGAGACCCCAGTAGTTCCAAAAAATTTTACCGTCGAAATGATGATCTACACCGACTATTACCACACCATCCTTATGGAAGAAGCCACGCAAGATCGACTCGGCTATCTCATAGTGCTCGTGCTGGCGGTAAGTATTGACGTAATTGTAAGTACTGTTAGCTTTTTTGTTAGTTTGGAAAGACTGCTGGCGAATAGTTATGTGCATCTGTAGCGAGGTAACAAAGAAGCCAGGTGCACGTAAGCGCTTTCGCTAGGTGACCTTTGGTATGCAAGTTGAAAACCATCCGACTACTTACACCTATAGGGCCACTACTGCAAAGCATGATCGATTTGCTAATACTATCGCCTATAGCAGAGGTCGGCATCATTTTGAGGTGCAAGTACAAGTAGCACGAAGCTGGCAACACAGCGGACGGCATGGCAAATTTAGGGAGGGTGCGTATAGAGTGGGAGGGGGAACCCAGACGAAGACAATATGCTATAAATTAGGCAAGCAATTTATGTTTGTTTTTACCACAAATATTACAAGGTTCCAATCTAACTAAGGTTACTAGCGTAAATCTCATTTAGGTCAAAACTGCTATCTGGGCCTTCAGTAAGGAAGTGATATGAATAGAACCGGGGAACTTGACGTCATGCCCGGGGCCACGTAATACTGCCTCGCACGTCGCATGTGGTCCGCGGGTCATGAATGGCCGATCCCTGGCCAATAGAGATCTAATAAACTGCGCAGATGTTTAGTAGAGTGCCCTGTCCTCACGTCGTGCTTCGCGCCGATGTCATGCAGTCTCGTGTCTCGAATTGGCGTCGCGAAGGTCCCACGTTTGACGCCGCGCGTAAGCCGGGCAAGTGGCTTGTTTTGAACGCCAGTGCTTGCTTGCCCGTGGACGCCAGAGTCACGGAAGGGTTGATTTGCATGTCCGAGCCGCAGTGTAGTCTGAGACAGCAAGGCAATGATGAAGCGCCAGCCAGCGTTGGTAGATACGCGCATGCATATCTATGGAAGGGACACACGGAGGCATTGTGAAATGGTAATGCCGTGAGTTAAGAGTATAACGTGATGATGTTATGCGGCGCCGGCCGCATCACCTTCTCAATCGCTAGCCTGGCTTCGGTTCTCGCAGCATGTCTCAATGAATCATGCTTGCTTTATAGCTTGTATCGCTAGTAGCAGACATGGCGGTACGGCTTCCTGACCTAACGAGCTGCTTATCGACACCGTGCATGGTTCCTCTTCATAGCAAGAGCTTCCACTGCGCACCGCCACAGAGACTAAGAGGGTGCTGAAGGTCAAGTAGGTAGGTCGACAGAAGGCGTCGTTGCATCACGAATAAAGGTTAAGTAACACAGTAAATTTCCGTTCCATTGCCACGCGCGTTTCTTTTTACTCTTGTTGTATTCGCTTTATGCCAACAAAAACTATCAGGGACGGTCAGCGCAGACCGCAACTGGACCTTCATCATTGTACTAGATCATGGTGTCAAGATTACGCGCACGACGTGGACATAAAATATCTTTTATGGAACTAACGTGGCCACTAGCGCTAACGCTGGAATATTCTACGGCACATGTGTAAATGCCAGCACCCGTCACCGCTTCTTAGTTGATCGACGGCCGATGCTCTGTTCGCTGCTATCAGAACTAGTGTGTATCGCTGTAATCTCCCTTTCCGCAACCAGCCACAAGTTCTGCCAAATAAGCAGTTTCACTTTGGACAAGCCATCACTGCATTCGTCAGCGTCACGATTCTGTGACACTGTTTTGTTACAGGTCAGCCTTCGCATGCAGCAGCTGACCCCTCCAGGTTCCATAGCTATTACAGCCATTCAAAGCAGCTGGACTGTAAGTAGGCTAAACTGTAAGCAGCTGGATTGTAACCGAACTTTAGCAGGAGCTGTTAGCTGACCAGACACCTCTTTTTCCAGCCGAACGAAACGTACGTGAAGTTGCATAGCGAAGACGAATTGCTAGGCACGGAAACCTTGAAAACCATGGCAAAGATCGCCAACCAAAGCCATCACGAACAGCTGGCTGATGTGGTGTTCTTGCTTACTGGGTAAGTATGACTTGTTTTTACGTTGCTGAAACTTAGCTAAATGTTCATCCCACTGGCCACCTGATATTTTCGTATTGTTTAAAACCATGCAGCGTATAACAGCTCTCGTTTACCTCGCAGTTACTGCTTTGCTCACAGAGGGTTGAGCAAGCCTCCAGATTTTAGTGGCAATATTTCGCCTCCTATAGCTAGCATCTTATGTTTCGTTATTCCTTAAAAACTTGACTATTTGTTTTGGCTCTATTTTCTTTACCCTTAAACAAATTTTAACTAGATTTGCGGCAGAGTATTCAACAAGTACGAAATTTTGATTGTTCCTTTTCTGTGCAACGCCTATAAATATGCTAGAGAAATTGCGAACATCACTGCCGAGCTATTGAAGACTCTTCCCGTCAAAATATCGCGGCAAGTTCGGTCACGCATAAGCCAAAAGGGTGCTCATCTTCAGCACATTCAGTAGACTAAGTGAACTTAAACCTATGTAACGTTCACAAATCTTACCTATTCACGTTTGGCATGGCGCATCGCAATGGCATGCTTTTAGCGTTTATTGGCGCAAGCCTATCCCACCTTGTATAGCATTTCGCGGTTCTGGTTATTTTTTCACTTATTCTTTTTTCCGGCTTTGCGCATTAGAAAACAAAAAACATGAACTTTTCACTCTCTTAATGTTTTGATGCAAGCCTTATTAAAGTGTTGATTTCTAACCAAACCACAGCCCAGTGGAACAGGTCAGTTCTAAGAAGATCGCCCTTATTTTAGCCCATGACAATTCAAACGCTCAGCATTTGAAAAAAAAATGTCAATTGAAAGAGCTGCGTTCGCAACAGCATTTCTTGTCAGTTTCTTGTTAATTTCTTATGAATACATCTGGTTGCTATAACATGTGGTTATGTCAGTCAGTTGGGCTATGTACACTTTATATTATATGATACATTACTCACTAAGTTATGGACATATTTGCAACGAGTTAAAGACATAATGTAACCATAAGTAACAGGCAACCTGAATGAAACGTTTCGTTCCTATTCCAATATTACATATGTTTTTTTACAGAGTGCTTACAAAGCCCATATATTTTCATATACATTTCTAAGAAAATATAACGTAAACATGAATTTGTTACAACGACATATGCAGTTTTTCAGCAGGGATACGTATATTGCTTCTTGGAATAATCAGATAAAAAACTACAGTGGAATGAGAAACCGCATCAGCAAAGACGAAAGACAGAGCACAAACAAGCACAATAGCTATGCCAGTCCGCAAAATTCGCTATGCATTGAAACATATCGAAACAATAAATTATTTGTAGTCCTTAGTGTTTTTCCTCACCTAATACAGCGGTTTTTTTTTTTTTTTTTTGCTTTCAGGAGAACCTTAGTGCAGTACACGAAGTCTGCAAACACTACAGAAATCGATCCCGAAAACGCAGGTAAGGAGAGTTGTCATTCTGCTGCACGCAACAACCAATTCAATTACCAGTTGACCACTCACTCTTACGCTTATGAACGGGTACAAATTGCACAATATTACGAATGGTTACTTTATTTCGGGTTCAGCTTCACGTAATGTGTGTGTGTGTGTGTGTTGTGTGTGTGTGTGTGTGTGTGTGTGTGTGTGTGTGTGTGTGTGTGTGTGGTGTGTTGTGTGTGTGTGTGTGTGTGTGTGAGTGTGAGTGTGAGTGTTCCTGTCCGTACAGAATTTCCACGTTCTTCGATATTTATGGCAATTTTTACTCTGTGAACATACAGGATTGGCGTACACCGGATCAGCCTGCAGATACTCGAAAGTCGGCGTTGCAGTGGACTACCCGGGATACTTCATGGCAGTCAACATCCTTACCCACGAATTATCGCATACGTGAGTCCGTGTAGCGAGAGCAGTTGTAAATGCGAAGCACTTCGTAGCGAATATGGGCAACTTTGACCATATCTATCTATCTGTCTATCTATCTATCTATCTATCTATCTATCTATCTATCTATCTATCTATCTATCTATCTATCTATCTATCTATCTATCTATCTATCTATCTATCTATCTATCTATCTATCTATCTATCTATGGATCTTTAAAAATGCTGTTAATATGAGCATAAACACGATAAATAAAGGTAAATCTCGATGCATCAACGGCAACTCCGCAGCTTCACATGCTCATGTCAGCCAACAACCGGTAACTTCATGTATATCGCGCTGTAATGGCGCTGTATTGTGGGTATATTGCATCATTCCTAAAAAGATGGGGGAGCAATTTCTTGCTGTCTTGCACGAATTAATGAAAGTAAACCTGTACTTCTCGGGGTGGAGCTCGTATTCGTTGTAACCCTGTTTCCTTCCTTATCGTGCCTTAGACGAGTATCGATGAATTGTACAACTACTCAAGATGTTCCTCCCTCAGGTTGAACGCCAGCCATGACGGTCAGAAAGACGCCAAAGATTGCTCAAGAGAACACGAGCACTTGATGGACACACATCTTGGAGGGAAAAAGAACTTCATTTACTCGTCGTGCAGCAAGAGATCAATTCGCAAGTTCTTGATGTGAGTTCTCAGAATTTATTTTAAGTGAAGCGCGGTTGCTCGTTGCTATAGTTCATTTAAAAAGAAATGTATACATCTAAATACAGTGAAGTTTTATCGTTTGTTTGTTCGACGGTAATAAAAACAATTTTGTTGAAGTACTTTCGTTATTGATAGGACATGATCAATAAGCAGCCGAGAATACACGACCGTTCGGCTGCGCCAAGTTTTTTTTTTATTTTTTAATATTGCTGTGCAGAGCAATTTAGGTACGTTGCGTCTGATAGTCCACCCATGCGACCAATGGAGAGAGGTATTTTTTTTTCTTTCAGAATTCTATTCTTTACCAAGACAGAGAGGGGGAAGGGGAAGAGGGTAAGCGAAGCTTGGCATACTAGGCACTTCACGGATAAATCACCGTGCATGTAAAGTTCTATCCTTTCCTGTACTCCCAAGCCATTTTTCGTAGAGAGAGCTACGTGCCCTATTCTCACCGTTTCGCTGTGGCTGGTGGCCGCACCACGAACGGAGCCGTTGCCTAGCAACCCCCACAGCTGGCAGTGCAGCTCGGTGCGCAATCTGGAATGATATCAAAGAAGCCGGGAAACCGCGCTGGAACCAAGATGAAGAGCCGGCGTTGCATCTTATATACAAAGGGTGGCTTGGTGGGACTCGTCGGCAGATATCAAAAGTGAGTCGGAGAGAGTGAAAGAAACCCGGCTTTGTCATCGGAACAAAACCAAAAGGAGGCAGCAAGCCCAGGAGACGGAGGAAGAACAAGCCTCTTGCATCGAGAAGCGCAACTGTACAGAGAACTAAGCTAAACAATAATGGGAACCATACAACTCGCTGCGCACACCTACGCATAACTGTGTTTCGCCACAGCCTTTTAGGGACGAAGCTCCTCAGGGTGTGGGTCTGTACACCGTCTGATAATGTATGTAGCCACCCATACCGCCTTGGTGTTTTATTCGACCCACAGTGCATCTTAGTGTACCAGGTATCCGGAGGAAATCTGAGCTTTCGTCGCCCATGCTGAAACAACTGTCTCTTCTTCTTTTGCACGAGAAATATTGAGACAGCATACATGTATACACCGATGGTTCCACGAACCACCAGTGTTCGTCAGGGGCAGCAGTTGTCCCAGCAAGAGGTGCTACCATCAGCTTTAGGACTGACCACTCCACGGCATCTACAGCAGTGGAACTAGCTGCCTTGCACGTTGCACTTTGTGTGGCCAATCGGGAACCACCGCAACAATGGTCAATTTTCAGCGACTCAAGGGCTGCCCTACAATCTGTGCTCTCAGCACTGCGTCGCGGGCCATACGAACAGCTTGTTTTTGAAATTCGATGCCTTCTCCACACTTCACACGAGAAAGGGCATCATGTGACGCTTCAATGGCTGCCAAGTCACTGCGGCACCATAGGGAACGAACTTTCCGATACTGCCGTGCGGGCAGCCCTTGAAGGAACACGAGAAGAAGCCATACCACTTTCGCGGACCGATGCTGCTAGTAATCTTCGACGACTTGCGCGTGAAATCACGTTTTCACTATGGTGCCCACCAAGCATTGATACAAATCGTCAAGACCACCTGTCCTCTTTGATGGCTCTCCGCATGCCCACTGGACTCGGCCGAAGAGAAGCCACCCTTCTTCATCGCTTATGGCTAGAAGAGGCATTTACAAAATCTTATTCCTTTGTCATAGGAATGGCCGACAACGCTCTCTGCGATGCCTGTCATTGCGAAGAGACGCTACACCACATTTTGTGTGACAGTCCATTGTATGAAATCCGGAGACAATCACTGGCGTGCGCTTTTGCAAGCATCGACAACAGCCCAATGTCTGTGGACACTATTCTGTCAAGTGCCCGAGCGAAGACATTGCAACAGAAGGCGACGAAAGCTCTGTTGAAATTCCTACGCGACACGGACTTGAACAAGCGACTGTAACAGCAATGTCACACACCGTGAAAAACAAGACTGGACTATGAGTGTGTGCGCGTGTGCTGCTGAATGTGCTGTGTTTCTCTCTTCCCTCTCAGCTCTCTATCTTTCATCTCCCCATCCCTCTCCCATGCGCAGGATAGCAAACCGGCTGCCTATAGGCTGGTCAACCTCCCTGCTGTTCTTTTCCCTCTATTTTCCTTCCTTTCTTCCTTCCTTATGAAGCCACCAGTGGCACATACCCGAAAGAGTGGTCCTTAAAATGTCTGCTTGATGGCAGCACTTCTGTATGATGAACACATGATGATAATATGTGAGAAGGCTGTACTTGGAGTGTTCACTAGATAGACAGACGAACGGACGGATGAACATACATATATACGGACGAACGGATGGATGGACTGACGGACGCACAGACAGACAGAGGGCGGACGCACGCACGCACGCACGCACGCACGCACGCACGCACGGACGCACGCACGGACGCACGCACGGACGCACGGACGGACGGACGGACGGACGGACGGATGGATGGATGGACGGACAGACAGACAAAGGAACGGCCGCGCGAGCAGGCACACGGACGGACGGACGGATGGACAGGCGGAAGAACAGACGGACGCATGAAGGGACGCATGGATGTACGAATGCATGGACAGACACATGGATGGCTGGAAGCAAGAACGAATTGGTGGACGAAAGCACGTACGCACTGACGAACGCTTCGCCCTACCAATCATCATTTACTCCGTGGATATGCTGTGATTTTTTTTCCCGGTGTATTACGTCGTATATGCGCTGTTCGGTTGAAATGCCTTCATATTTGCGATAAAACAATAGATGCCCGGAACATTTTTTCCCAACTCTCCGTGTGAATGGTTGACGGTTTTGGCCACAAAAATCTTTTCCCTAAGTTTCCCGTTATTTTTCTTTGACAGGACTATATTCTCTACATGTTTCTTACGATAGGCAGACTTTACGTATAAGTTAATTTTGAAAACTTAGTCATAGTTGTGCGATTTTACAAGCAAGTACCTTAGGCTATGCTGTTGTCCCTTCAGTATTGCTGTTTTTGTTTTTGTTTTTGAAGATTCTTCTTACCATAATTTATTTGTGAAATTTGCAGTGTCATGCGTTTCTAAGCCTATTACTACCGAACATGTCTTTTATTTATTGTAGGTCTAATAACGGATCATGCTTGAGGCACAAAATAAACGAAGGCTACGTGTTTGAAGTTCCCTATACATACTTACTGAAGAAAGCGCCATTCGCGGACGGCATCGGTTACTGCCAAAGATTTTTTCCTGACTACAGTGAAGTCAAATACGTTGAGGTAAATTTATTTTATGTTTTCTTCGCTAACTCCCAGATGTGCCCCATAATATGGTTCTTACCTTGGGTTGCTATTTGTTTTTTGCACCAACACCTATCATCCAGTTTGTTATGATTGGGCGGGGGTTTGAATGGCTGCGTGGATCCTGATGAGCCACCAAGCAGCATAACTATTTATATTTATAAAGCTTGCAGTGTCTCTGCAAGCTTTATCAGCATAAATAGCTATGATACCCGCCACCGCATGAATCCCTACCCATAATACCCTTGAGGTGTTTTCAATATCCCTTAAATTCACGTATACCGTTTAATTTAAACAAGCACGCATACTTTAATTGTGAGCTCGCGATCAACGCTGGGGATGCATGTATCCGTTTCGCTAGGTAACCACCTGTACTTAGCAGGATTTTTTTAAATTGCCGCTCCTCTTTTTCTTGCAGTCACAACATCCTGGAAATGGGTGCCGTTTTAGGTGCAAGTTCGGAAATACGGTCAATGAAATGCTAGACGCGAAGTTAATTGTGCCGAACGGAACGCCTTGTGTGAGTTCTCTAGGACGAAATACAAAAAAGGTACGGCTCTTCGTTTAAGTAAACGCGGATTTCTTTTCAATTTTACTGCACGAAATAGTAAAAAAAATTGTTGTTTTAACTATTTCCGCGATTCTCTATACATTAGGTGAGGCAAGTATGTAGTTATAGAATGGCTGCCAGTTGGGCGTGTTGATAAAGGTTCATGATGAAACAAGCGCAAAATATACACACTCAGAGAAAACACAGACAAGTGCTTACTAGCAACTGAAAATTTTATTTCGAAGCGAACACTAATAAATACATCACACGCACGTACGTCATTCCCGACTTCCCCTGTCATCATCAACAACGTGATATAACCAAAAATATGCACGCGCCCACAACCGGAAACAAACACGTGTCAAGAACTAAAAAAATAAAATGTGAAAAACAAAACAAAAAACAAAACAACGAAAAATAAAAAAATAAAAAATAAAAACAGAAAAACCAAAAAAACAAAAAAACAAAAAACAAACAAAAAACGTAACACAGAGAAAAACACTGGGTTATGTGACGTCCAAAAAAGCAAATTCCGCATCTGTTACTAGAACTGACGCTTGGCTGACGCAACTGTCCCCTCCTTTCCTTATTCTATACGCTTCCATTATTTCTCTCGTCGTCCGCTTGTAGTGCCTGTCAATTATTCGTGTGTCGGAAAATTTCGCTTGGCAGGTGCACTCCTAGCAGTGCATCGTTAAGTGTGAGTAAGGGGCCCCCTTTAGTGAACTCTCATGTTCACGAAGGCGCACATTTATGCACCGGCCGACCCGTCTGACCAACGCATTCCTTTCCACATGTGAAAGGAGTTCCGTATGCAACATCTTTTTTGCACTCAACGTACCTCCTGCTATGCTTTATGCTACATCTGTTCGATTCTCCAGTTCCTTTCTTGTTGACTAGCCTTATTACTGCTGGACAAATCTTTGATAACTTGTTTTCAGCTGAAAAAAACAACCCGCACGCCATACCTTAATGCAACTCTTTTCAACCTATGTGAAATATTGTGCAGATACGGGATGACCACTGTCCGCTCTCTTTCCCCTTCAACTTGTCTCCTCTCTTCGCTTGTGCCAATAATTGCATTTTTTGCTTCCCGAAGATTCTTCTCACATGCCAAAAGGATACATTCATCCTGGTAACCAGCTCCCCTCAAGCGCTTGATCTGCGCGGAAACACTCTCATTCATTGAGTGTACGCACGATTTCATGAGGGCAGCTTTGATGCAAGAAGTTGCGATCCCATTCTTTACCATCTTCAAATGTGCCGAATGATAGCTCAGCAATGGTTTTTCCAATCTAGGGTGATACATCCAACACGTGTGAAAAGGAGACAAATTAATTTATAGGTCCAGAAGTAGTTATAGCCTCAAGCGTGCGCAGCTTTTTCTTTCAGGGAAAGACTATTTATCGTAGTGATTCTTCCTCTCCTCTGCACCCCTTTGTTCTTCGAGTCCAAAAGACAATGCCATTCACGATGTATAAAAAAAGATGAAAATTATGTTTTTTTTACCATGGCACGCGCAGGGTTCCTCTTCACGTAGATGTAGCGCCAGTGGGGGTATAACCCCCCACCCAGCGAAAAAAAATTACATCTTCCCCCCTATTTCCCTCCCAAGAGCAAGCATAGTCAATGCACAGCGCATGTGCAGCCTTCCTGCCCTTCTGAACGAACTCACTTGTCGTGGTTGCACCCCCCCCCCCCTCCGAGTAAAAAATTCTGGGTGCCATCCTTGTCTTCACAGGGGACGAAGGTTCCTTGCAGTGCCTCCCCTCTCTATTAAGTCAACGTATGGGGTAATCTTTGTTCACCCCTCCCCTTGGGTAATTGTAGGAGCACCCCCCCCCCTCACCTGGTCGATGTCGATGGTCTTCGGTCGCCATTATCACCCAAAACCAGTGGGATCATAATCCTCATAGCCCTGCTCTTTCGACAATTAGAAAGTAGGTCACGCTGAGTAACGGTATGCAACAAGCTTTGCACCTCCATTCCCTCCCCCCCTTAGGAGATAGGGGAGCACCCTCCTGCCTCCCCCTCTATCATGCGCTTGTGAACGACAAGCAGTTTCTAATATGGCAGTGTGATTCAATTACGAGATCGCTCGTTTTTTCACGCTGCGTCGTTTTATTGCGAGGGATTTCGTGCCAACTACTTGGGCGGGAAGACAGAAGGAAAGACGACACACTGCTGGATTAGCAAATGAATGCTGATTGAAACTGTCCTTGAATATTTGTATCATTTTCTACATTCAATAATCATGCGGCGTGAAATACGTAGGACAAACGGGCAGATGCCTGCCTCAATGTCCGGACAACAGAGCGCACGGCATCTTCAGAAAGAAGACCTGCTGGACATCTCTCCCTCTCCAACAGCCACTGCAAACGCACGGTGCAACTGTGACGATATCAAGATTTTAGCAACAAGCAAATGCAGCCTAATGCGCAAAATTTTAAAAGTCATGGTTATGTACGAAAGTGGAGAATCATGCGTAAGCACACCTTCCTTAGTATACTCACAGAAAAAGAAAAAAAAGATTAATGTGCACAAACAGTCTAGAGATCAGCAAGCCTTGCATTCGCTACTAAATGCTGTAAATATACGCAAGAAAGCCATCAACAAACGTTAATTTGCTAAGACGACAGTTATATCGCGAGAACAGAACGACGACAATGAGACAAGAAGGACACAAGCGCTCGTGTCCTTTTTGTCTCTTAATCGTCGTTCTGTTCTCGCGCTATAGCTATTGTCATGTCATACCAACTAGCCCAAACTGCCACACTTCAAAGTTAATTTGCTAGTCCAGCGACGTGCAGTCTCCCTTTTCCTCGTCGCCCGAGTAGTGAGGTGGTGCCCCCCCTCGCTATTTGCAGCCAACGAGTTCAGGCAAGCGATGTTCTAAGTTATTGATTTAATTATTGAACTGTTCTTCTTGTGGTTGTTCTACTGAAAGTGAACTGTATAAGCACGATTTCAACGGTCATAGTCGCACGTTCACGATACGCCTGCAAACAACACTGGCCGTCTCACTTCCACCGAGGGAAAAAAAACAAGGAGAAAGAAAGAAGGAAGGAAAAAAGGAAGGAAAGAAAGAAATAAGAAAGAAGAAATAAGAAAGAAAGAAGGGAAGATGGGAAGATGGGAAGGAAGAAAGGGGAACAAGGGAAGAAGGGAAGAAGGAAAGTAAGAAAGAAGGGAAGGAAGAAAGGGAAGAAGGGACGGAAGAAGGAAATGAAGAAAGAAGGAAAGAACAGAAGAAAGGAAGAGGAAAGGAAATAACGAAAGAAAAAAGAGGAAGAAAGGATAAAAGAGAGAGGAAAAGGATGAAAATAGTAAGTGGGGCAAACAAACGCAAAGCATTGCTAGCCTTTCTTTTCTGGTAGGCTAGTGCCCGTGAAAATATTGTCTTATAATAACCCACGTAATAAGTGTGAAGTCATTTCAGTTCGTACGAAACGTTTTGGTAGCTTCAGTAAATGAGCAGTGTCGTGTACATGCTATGCAAAACGCTTCGCGCACACAACCATAGGCGGCCCTGAAAGGACGACATAATTTTCCTTCGCAGAATCTGTAGTTGATGTTTGTTTATTAATGCATTTTCATCAATATTTCTTCAGAATAAATAACATGGGTGCCTTTTTCGTCGTTCTGCAACTGCGAGTAATGTAATTGCACGTGTATACTATCCGGCTCAATATGTCTTTCCATAATAATAGCATTTATGACAGGGGAAAAAAATCACTTCGTTGTGCAATCTAATTTTCTTTCTCTTTATTTTTTCAGGTTTGTCACAATGGCTTTTGCGTGCCAAAAAGGAAAAAATAAATAAGTTTGCCAAATCACTCTGTGTTGTTCAATTACAAGCCTAGACCTTCCTGGACCCCTTTCATCATCTCAGCGCTTATACCCAGAGCATAAATCCAGACGATGCCTTCGAACTATGCGGCTGGCCTCACGCCGTTCTTAGGCACATTTCTGAGAGTGCGCGGTTATTGGCAAAGAAAATGCAGTCTGCCCAGAGGAAGCTGCGGCACGGTGGATGGCCGCAATAGCGCAGCTCCAACCTCCAGCATCAAACAGTGGATCATCCAGCAAGCCCGTCGTGAAGTGGTGAGAAAAGGCGGCTCTTCGGTTCTCCTCGGGGGTGGCCTGGGCACAGGCCATGAATTTGCCGGAGGTTTTTCATTAAAATTGTCGCTACCGCCACCTTACTTCTTTTGGACACGGGTGACCGGCACAGTTGAAATTTGAGACCTCTGTGTTTATCACTGCGTTTATCACGGTGTAGTTCTACTCTATAAAAGTGGATGACCAGCAGATCATTGTAGCAAATTGCACAGAAGGGGCAGATATTCATTTTCGTAAAAGGTAAGTAATTGCACGTAATTTTCACAAAAACTACGAAAAGGTACAGAAAGTTTTTTTTTTTTCTGGAGCCCCGTTCGTGGTGTTATAGTGGCTATAGTGGCTGCTGACTCGCAGATCGCGGGATCGCATACCGGCTGCGGTGGCTGCATTTTCGATGGAGGAGAAAATGTTGTAGGCTCGTGGGCTCAGATTCGGGTGCACGTTAAAACCCCGGTCGGTCAAAATTTCCAGAGTCCTCCATTACTGCGTCTCTCATAATCATATGTGGTAGTTTTGGCACGTTAAACCCCCACGTATTGATAGGTTTTTTTGAATGTAGTATGTGTTCCTTTAAAGTTTTTCGTTTAAGCAGCCTGCGTTTGTTTTCAGCGTGCTTTCTTTTTTTCGTGACGCATTAGTGGACCACAGGGGGTCTTTAATTACTTCGGCACATACGTTCATGATCGAGGATAACTTCGTTTTTTTTTCTTTATTGTGGAGCACATTAAGGAGCTGAAATCTGTTCTATGCTGTCGTGTGCAGTCATCGTCGTATTCTGTCGTAGCTTTGCATTACGCAGGCGAAACCACATAAAGCATAGCCATCCTCAGCTCAAGCTCTGACCACGAGTTCTCACAAAAAGAAGTATTTTTCGTGTTGCCTTTTTGTTGCAGTATAAGTCTTTTTCTTCGGGTACTCTTCTTAATGATGATAGATGTAAAAAGTAAAAAACACAGAAAAATTTTATAAAGAAAGGGAGGAAGCCGAAAATAATTAGAAACAGATGACCACCACGCTCTACACTTCTTTTATGCTAGGCACCACTGTAATGCAAGCTGCCATAAGTTTTTTTTTTTTTTTGGTGAAGCAGATGTGAGTAGAGGCTTGTCCAAAACCTGTGGTACATATCCGCGCTAGGAACGACGGGCCGGTAACTATTCCTTTTGCCTCGGCGGGTACAGATTTGTTGTGAAAACGTGAAAAGGAATTGGAAGACATAGGGGACGAAAAAATTTGGGTTGTTATCAAACATTGGGTGCTATGGAGGTACAATACTTATATGAACTATGAGCGGGTTAACCTTCTGCGGTGACGGTGGAAGATGCTGACAAAAGTTTGTCCGTGCTCGTATACGTTGGCGTAGAAGGCCGTGAAATAACGCTGCTTTAAGCTACACAAAATGCCCTTGGCCTTTTTGGTAATTTTAATCCCGGCTGCGGTGGCTGCATTTCTGATGGAGGCGGAAATGTTATAGGCCCGTGCGCTCATATTTGGGTGCACGTTAAAGCACCCCAGGGGGTCAAAATTTGCGAAGCCTCCACTACGGCATCTCTGATAAACATATGATGGTTTTGGGACGTTAAACCCCACGTATCAATCAATCGATTCTCGGTAATTTTACAAATTGTATAACTAACGAGATTAACATGATTAAGAGATATTCTGACATTAGTTAGCATTTAAGACACCTGCAGTTTTCCTCGTAAGTATTACTCTTCTCAATGTCACAAGTCTCGAGAAGAGAATTGCAGATTGCCAACAACGCATAAGGCAATTAAGAACATGTGGTCATTAGGTAAACGCGTAATTCGAATGGCGACAGCTCTGGCGTCTGCACTTCCTGCTGCATTTAAAAGAACATTGTTAAAACTAAATGAACGTGTACAATGCTCATCCGTTTTTCCTGTTGTATAATTAACAGACAACTACACTGAACTTCAAGGCGTCGCCGAACATTTAAGGCTTAAGCCATAATCCCATTTGAGGCATAAGGTGCCCGCTCATTATAATTAGGAAGACACTAAGTTTCAGCCTATTTCATCGCTTTATCATTAGCAGGCACTCCAATGTAAAGCAGTGTATATTCTTGCACTAGGCCAGCAGTATCCACTCGTATATAAGCAGTGCTTTATGGCCAATTACCACTGAACTACCAGTGAATATTTTTTAGGTGAGTGATTTTATAGGAAGTAAAGCGGTATTTCACAGCACGCCAGCTTTTGGTCAGCATCAACAACACAATTTCTTTCTTGAATATTGGGGAAAACCTCATATGAAGTTATACGTGTAAGCCGACACAAAAAAAAAAACTCTGATGATGACTAAAGTTAGTCCAAAATACTAAAACTTTGTGACTCTGAAGCCAACCTCGAGAAAATTACCGTGGCTGTGACATCATTTTCAAAAAGAGCGGTAACATCATTTTCAAAATTGAACTCTGTTAGCAAGTGTCTTGAAACTTCCCTGAAGAGTGAGGGAATCTGGCAGTTGAAAGTTTCCACAAGTACACAAAAGTGATCCATATATAGACCTAAGCTTCATCAGGGTCACCGTGCGGGCCTCATCACAGTTGCGGCACCCTCCAAGTTTTGTTCAAGGACGTAGAACATTCGCCAAAGCACTTCGCTCCACCTCCTAGCACTTGCATCAATACAATTCACAGTGATGATATCCTTGGCGACACAAGTTATGGTCCTTTGTACGGGTATTTCCCGCTACCCACTAAAACTTATAATTATTAGCCTGTCACGTTACTTATAAAAATCGGGTGTTTTTTCTGTGCTCTAAAACCACCTTACTTTTATTTATTAATTTGAGCTCGTCATGTTAGTTTTTATTATTATTGGTTCTCACTACAAAACTAAGCCCTTGAATTTACACTTTCCTTCATACTTCGAATCCCGGTTGCGGCGGCTGCATTTTCGATGGAGGCAAAAATTTTTTAGGCCCATGTGCTTAGGCTTAGGTACACGTTAAAGAACCCAAGGTGGTCGGAATATCTGAAGCCCTCCACTACCGCGTCTTCCACATTCATATCCTGGTTTCGGGAAGCTGAACCCCAGATATTGTTACTGTTCAACACTCATAAAATGTCACAATCCTACGGAATACGGAGCTCGACTATCTCTTTTCATCCTTCTCTAATCGTATTTTAGTGACGTCATATTTCAGGAAACCACCTTATAGAGAATCGAAGTAAAGAGTAAGAGGTGATCTAAACACTAATACCTGGCACTTGCGTCCCAAAGTCATGATTTTATTGGGAGGGACGCTGGAGATGTCATCAATTACTCGTTTTTAATTGGTCTACAGTAATTAGAAAATTTGTAAAAATTAAAGCTGACGAAAGAAAATAACTTCAGGGACAATCAAACCTGTAACATTTCAGTTCAAATGCTTGGACATGTAAAGGCTTCTTTTAAATCATTCTTTACATTGTCAACAGGGTAACTGCATGTCAATGTTCCTGGAATGAGCAGTTTTGTACCGGCATTGGAATAAAGAAACGCTTCGGACGATAGATGCATGGCATATCCATAATAGTTTTAGCGCATGCGTGAGCTAACCGTCGATTAGCTTGGATAAAGACGAAATCAAATACCCCGCAGATCATGAGATCAAATCTCGGCTGCGGCGGCAGCATTTCCGAAGGAGGTGAAAATGCTGTAGGCCCGTGTGCTCAGATTTGGGTGTACGTTGAAGAACCCCAAGTAGTCGAAATTTCTAGAGCCCTCCACTACAAAGTCTCTGATAATCATTTGGTGGTTTTGGGACGTTAAACCCCACATAGCAACAAAATCAAATACCTTAACAATTGCCCTTTCAAGCAGAACCCTCCCACCCTGCACCTTACTGATAGGTTCGCATATTGCATGGGCATTGTTATGCAGAGGCATAGTCCTCGTTTAGGAGCGCTTCTTCCCACGAGAAAGAGCGCAGTTGTGGTGAGCTCTCCCTTCCTCCCAGGGCCACCTTTAACGCAAACAGCGGCAAGCTATGTCCAGTTTTGGGGAAGGCTTGGCCTCCTCCGCCCAACCATCGTGCAGTTCTGGGGAAAGCTGCGTCTTCTCCGCCAAGCCACTGTGCAGTTCTGGGGAAAACTGCGCCTCCTACGCCAAGCACCGGGAACTGGTGTCAGAGAAAAGACCAAAACGTTATTTAAGGCCGTGCGGGCCGGATGTTTGAGGATTTCGCCCAGCTGACGTTGCTGTGCTGGCTGGCATTGTACAAACTATAACATACTGTAGTAAACGTTGCTGTCTTCAAAACGATTGCTTCCATACTTCGCCCTTGGGCGAAGGCCTCGGCTATGTCCACTCGGCTGCTCGCCAATCTTGGCTACCGCTATACCATCGCAACACAGCGAATTCCTAACAGTGGTGGTAGCGGTGGGATGCTATCCAACCCGAATTCATAACAGCATGCTCAGATGTTATCGCGCCCTCATTCTTTTTCGATTAGGCCATTCGATAGGCATTTGCGGTGTCCTGACGTCCTGGTGGCTGTGTCTACATGTCCCGTCCTTCTAGGATGAATACCTACCAACCAGCTCATCTCTTTGTTATTTATTGATAAAATAATGGTCGCTCTAGTGGGAATGCGAGGTATAATATCACAATATCAATGAAGAGACCTTTTCGTCATACTGCGCGCCATCCGTCAATTATCGAACGTATCTGCTCTGAGCCAACCAGCTAGCCCATCA